CACGTGTAGGGCAACTTTGCACATGCGGGAAAACAAAGGCTTGAGATATATATATATATATATACATATAATATACATACACATGTTTTTTGTTCGATCTACAGAAGATTTCTGGTGTCATTCCCGGGTTCCTGGACAGCAAATACAAGTTGATGAAGAGGGCATGAATTGCAAGTGGGTGATTTTTCGCTAGACCAAGGCTTGGATGTGTCTCTCCGTAGACCAAGGCACCCCGTGATAAACCGCAGAAGATGTGGACATAGCGAGAGTATTTGGGGACCATCCGTGTCAGTTGAAGCCTTCGGCATGAATTCCTGGTCCAATGGGCTGACATTGCCCTAGAAGGCTCTATCCTGCTTGATCCAGTGTATCAAGGAGGGTCGACCATGGTCATACTGTCATACCAGTGGTGATACCATCCCAGGCGCTGTGGGTTTCTCCTGGCGGTTCGTGAGGATGGTTGTGCTTGTGATCTCAATCCGCAGCCAAGGCCAATATCACCTGCGAGGAAGGGGATCTCATTCGCCACAACACCAACTGCACCCCGGTGTGCGAGGACGCCGCGCACGCATGCCATGTCCATGAGACCGCAGTGCCGGTAGTACCCATCCGTTTCTTTAAATACAGGTACAGTATATTGTATTAGTTCTTCCGAAGATATGCGTGTTTGGATGGACTGAGCTTGGGTCATAGAGCATCCTAGAGCCATCCAATTTCAGAAGAGAGAGAGAGAGAGAGACGGCAACTGCTTGTGGCTTTTGGTTTGGACCACATGTTGAAAAGAGAAACGGTTGCAACAAGGTACCTAGTAACTAGTAGATACTTGTACTTCTACTTCTGGCGAGCTGGCAACGCCCACCACTTATTCGCAGGAAGGCTTCACAGCAGACCTGGACAGCCTTCTTTGCCAGGCTTGGCTCGTGAGTCTTCAGATCCCCTCACCGATGGGGCGAGGGTGGTGTTTGCAGCCTTCTTGGGGCGATTTGTTTTGTACCACCCCTAAGTCAGGCAAGAACTGATGGTTCGATATTTAATTGGCATAAAATTTGCTCTTCAGATGGGGAACATGGGCGAAGAGCTCTGGGCAAATGGTGTCGATTTCCTGCTTCTCCAGGCTGGCGAGCTCACCCCGGCCTTGTTCGCGTGCGCTTGAGTGAGCTCTTCAGCTGGGGTCTTCATGCGTCAAGAGGAGTTTGTGCAGGAACAAGCAGGCAGCATGTCCGAACACGCTGACAGACTTCAAGACTTGTCAACCTGATATGCAATGGTAACGAATTGGTCCTTGTGGATCAAGAGGGAGGGCAATTGTCTTTGGCGGTTGGTCAAGCATTGACTCAACGGACACCAAGCCTCCCTCCACTCGTAAATCAGCATGCTGCACAAAGCGGTTCACCAGCGCCAACACGGCGCCGTTTAACGGAAAACCGCTGCAGCGGTTAATGCACCCGGTGTCATCCGTGTGACGCGAGCTATTCTTCCGCCGATCTCCAAGAAGAAACAAACAGGCTTGGAATCTCAGAATCTTGATCAATAATCCTCCGCAACATGAGGAGGTCTTATAATCCGAGCGGGGGGGAGTCCTATTAAGTTTTTATTCATCAAGATTCTACATTGAGTGGTTTCACTGGAGTCCCCATCTCCATGCCTTTCACTGCAGAGGATCCTCAAGTTGGCTCTTTCAGGGCTGGTGCCAACTGAAAACAAAGCGGATATCATGCTCTTTGGCAAACATGGGTCTTGGGACCCTTGGATTTCACCAATTCCTTCCTTCCTTCCGCCTCACCGGCACACAGAAGACACCGCGACCGCCGTGGAGTTCCCCGCGCGCGACCGGCGTGCCGAGGACCGTGGTCGTCGGTCGGTCTGGGTCAGCGCCGGAGTCGCGACGGATCGAAAAAGGTGGAGTTCGGGAGCGGGGATCGCTTGCCACATCCAACCACCTGGAGGATGAATCTAGAAAGCTTTCTGGAAGGAATTCCGAGTGTTTCTCCTTTTCTCCACTTTGGGATCATGGCATTTGTGTCCCGACCCCACGACCTGGCTTGGGTCTGGCCCCAGCCTCACGACACCTGGAATTCGACCCGGTCTTCAGCGCCGTCGGCCGAGGTGGGGTTTTGTCACCATGGCGGACGCCAGCCAGGCCCAGACGGCCCTCACCGACGCTCGGCTGCGCTTGGGGGTCGATGTGGATGGGACGGTGTTGGGGTTTTGCAGTGGTTCAACGGTTCCACGGCAATGCCCCGGAAGAAAAACACCCCAACAAACGCCCAGGCATCTCCCCGTTACCGGGGCCTTCTTCGTGACGGCCGGTCCGAGCCGTTGGCTCGTCGTTGCGAGGAAGTCAACGGGAAGATCCTCCAAGTGAGCCACGAGGCCGTCGAGGCGGGCTCCGGGAGTTGAAGCTCCGGTCCGAAGGGTCGAAAGCAGGGCCGTTTTGGGCCGTTTTGGGCAGCTCCGGTCCTTCCACACGACTGGACAGGTCTCCCAGCATCCGACTTGAAAAGGTCACTACGACTGCGACCCTTTTAAAGTCAAGCCACCGGAGGAGACCTGGCAGGGAGGGTCCAGGTATGGGACATCTCACATTTTGTTGATGGTTGATGCAACCTCTTGAGACAGAACGATGTAATCCCACGCTTTGGCCATGCGCAGAACGCTGCTGCGGGTGCCTGCGGTGCCTGCGGTGCCTGCGGCGCCTGCGGCGCCTGCGGCGCCTGCGGTGCCTGCGGTGCAGGCGGACGGGGGGAGTTGTTGGAAGAACCCATATATTTTAAGGATTCTTTTTCGCGTGCCTTTTGGCATTTTTTTCACCGTTGGTGGTTTGATAGCTTTCTGTTAGCTTTGGCTTTTGGCGGCTGTTGGCTTTTGTTGGCTTTTGACTTTTGGCAGCTTTTGGCTTTTGGTGGCGTTTGGCTTTTGGCGGCTTTTGGTTTTTGGTGGCTTTTGGCTTTTGGCGGCTTCTGGCTTTTGGCGGGTGTTGGCTTTTGGTGGCTTTTGGCTTTTGGCGGCTTTTGGCTTGTGGTGGCTTTTGGCTTTTGGCGGCTTCTGGCGTTTGGCGGGTGTTGGCTTTTCGTGGCTTTGTTTGCACAGCTGCCAGGTTTTATCTACATGATTGCAACTCACAGACGACCATGAGATATTGTGTTAATTATTGGAATCCTTTCGGAGGAAGGTTTTCATACTGATCACTAGCTTCATAGCTTCAGACAGCTGGCTAGCTGTTGGGCAACGTCATGCTGCATGGGTCGTTGGTGAGCTCTGGTGAGCTCTGAAGTGTAATCTGCACTTTGAGGTTCAAAAAAGTTCTGCGCCTGCCACAAAAAGGTTTCTAGGTTCACAAAGTGCTGCGCCTGCCACGAGGTCTGCACTTGAAGGTTCACGAAGTGCTGCGCCTGCCACGAAATCTGCACTTCGAGGTTCACGAAGTGCCGCGCCTGCCACGAAATCTGCACTTCGAGATTCACGAAATGCTTTGCCTGCCACAAAATGAGCAACTGAAGGTACTCAAAATGCTATGCCTGCCACGGAACCACTATGTGAAAGCGCTACCAGAAAAAAAGTACCAAAAAGAGCGCGAAACAAATTCCTTTAAAACATCGTCAACCGTTGTTGCAGGGCGCTGAGCCCAAGGACAAACGTGCCCCAGGTCCAGCGAACAGGAGGGTCTCACTTGTTTTTTGGGTGTTGGGGCCTCCTGCGCGCATTGCTGGGCGCGCACCCCTGTTCGTGCACGTTCCCAAACTCAGTCAACTGGCAGCGCAACTGGTCAGGAGCAGAGATGCAGATGGACCAGATGAATCAGATGCACCAGATGAATCAAATGAATGGCGTCTGGCTCCCGGGTGAGTCGGATGGGGACTTCAGCCGATTTCTGTTTGTGCCTTTTCGGGGATCTCCCTCATACCTTCTTTCGAATTGATTGAGATGGGGGAGTTTAAATACGTATGTTTAAAATTGTTTAAATCAATTGATGCTGGATTCGTCTGGATTCGTAATGATGAGGGAAAGGTCATCAATAGTTAGTCTCCGTGACCAGAGCATAAAGAGAATATTCAGCATTCATGCCCTGCATTTTACAATTGTGAATTCATGCTAAGATTGTACCTCTCTAACTTTTTTTTGGCTTTTAATTTACATGTTTTCATTCATAATGGATTTTATGGATATTTTGTTGTGTATTCTACTAATTGAGACAAGGTACCTAAATCTACCTACCTGATAGGACATTTGCATTGCAGATGAGGATGGAGTAGATGGCTCCTTTGGAGAGTCACGTGCTTCGCGAGGGTCCTCCTTTCTCGGGAGATCGATGGCTCCTTTGTGATCGACGAACATATCACCCCAGGTCAGCTGAGAAACATCGGTGGTGAATCAAGCTGCCAAGCTGCTGATGTGACACATATGGCTTTGATCTTTTGAAAGCTCAAGACTCGACGCACCACCATAGACCACCCGCAGCACCATGTTATATATTTTGTGCGTCTGAGTTGGACCACCAAGAAGGTCCATGGAGTTCGAGAAAACCCACAAAAGAGGAACTCCACGCCTTGGCTCCACGTCGCCTTGGCTCCACGTCTGACCGGACCGTGAGGCCTGGGACAACAGCAATGGCTATGGCTTTGGCTATGAGGACCGCACCGACGGCCGGTGCACGCTGGCCCAGTCGACCGGTGCTCCTCCAGGGTCGCCACTCTTTGTTCGATCACTTGCTAGGGGATTTGGGGTGTGTAGCAGTCAACATTGGTTGCTGTGAAGTTTGCATTGTAGCCGCTTGGAGCTGCTGCAAAGCTATGCCACACTGTGGTGTGACTGGCCTTTCAGCTAGCAGTACTTCACTATGGTTCACTGCTTGCTGGGCTGGGGGTTCTTCTCATTCCTCTTCCCACGAGCTTGTCTTCCAAGACCCCTTTTTCTGACCTGGCTGCTCCCCAGGAGCCCCCTGCGCTCGCGGGCGTGGCGCCCGAGGGGGTCTCGGCCCTGGCGGGCGTGGCGCCGGCCACGGCGCTGGCCACGCCCAAGGCTGGACTCGGCTTCTTTGAGTTGTTGAGTTGTTGAGGGTTCTTTTGGCGCATCCCAAAGCCGTGACTGCCTCGTCACTTCCAGACACAGAGCATGCCGCTCCGAGAGCAAACGGGCGGCCAGGCATTGCCGCAACCGACACAGAGCATGGCGCAGCCCGTGCCGGAGCAGGCTGGGCACGACACGAGTGATAAGCTTCAACCCTTCAGCCATGGGAGACAGGGCCGGTATGGTCGGCCCGTGGCTATGATCCGTTGGACCAGGGCCACTACCCCTCTCCTGCAGTTAAGGGGATGAGCTAGGTTGTGGACCGTAAATCCATCACGAGTCCCTGAGTCTTTGCTCATCCCGAAGTTATAACGTCCAGTTTGTTAGGATCTTTTGATCAAGTCCTCTTGCTCTACCAACAACATACATGAATGTCATGTTTGAAAACCGTAGCGAGTCCCCCATGTTGAGACACATCCATCGATGGTCATTGAGGCCGCGGAAACAGCTCCTGCACAGTCACAGCCTGCAGCTGAGGCATGGTTAGATCCGGTTGGACCTGTTGCCTCCTTATCCCTTTTGCTCTCTATTTTCGTTCCTGAAAGCCTTTTCGCAAGCGTTCGGCCTTTTCCTTCACCGAAGAGTGCATTTTAGAGGCTCAGAACTTTCTGACAAATTCTTTTTGGGTGGGAGCTCGCTACTTTGGCAGAGTCATTGGAACTCTAGCGGTGACCTACCTATTAGAGTCTCTTCTGGCTTTGTCTTGATGGGGTCCGCCATGCCATCGGTTCATCATCTAAAGCCACCGGTGTCCATGCCTCTCTTTCGACCCGCAAACCGGTCGAACGATTGAAGAAACGAGGGGTCCAAAAAGGACCCGGGGGGGTTCTTGAATACTCCAACCCTTCACTGGTGGAATTTGGAGCCCCTCTTCACCGGTGCTCCGCTCCGCTTGGCTCCACCGGGCGACGCACACCTGGCACCGTGGGGAAACGAGACGAAACGAGACGAGGAGATCGAGTCCCCAAGAACTGGAGGAGCGGCGAGGAAGCTGGAGTTAAGCTCATTACAAGGTGGAAGATGGAGTTATATAAGATGAGGCCTTGAAGATGGAGTTCCAGATTTTTCTGCGTAGATTTCAGGTGGCCACACGACTAATGCCGATATCTACCGACAGGCTTTTCATTGAAGAGTTGGCTGCCAGACAAGCATTCACAGGGACAGGGGTCAAGCCTGTAGTTTGGCCAAGCAAGCATCTTGTCCGTCACCAGTCACTAGGTCCTAGGTTTGTTTTGGTCGAAAAGTCCGCTTAGGAATGTGGCTTTGTGTTGTCTCTTTTCCAGGCACAAGCGACGCAGAGTATGCCTCCACCAGATCAGGCTGTGTCATTGGAATATCGGTGGGCGAAGGCAGGGTTGAATGTCTACTCATTAACTTTGTTTTCTACCACCCTGTCTCAAAAATGGTTTTCATTGCGATGCCAGCCCCTCCCATGCGTGTCGGAGTTGTGAATCTTCACCCGCTTTCGAGGGAAACCTGGGAAACGGGCAGATGCCCTCCTGCGACACCGCTCAGGCTGCTAGAAGCCTCAGATGTTGTTGGTGAGCAGTGTAGCAGTGCATTGGTACCTGGTAGCGAACGACCGTTCACGTCGGCAGGTCAACCAGGTCTCCTGGCGACCCACAGCGTGACATGACTGCCTGGGGCAGTGGTTTGTTTGCGTCTCAGACCCGCATTGAACCACAGGTTTAAGTAAGAATCTACCAGGACCTTCCAAGAGGTGTTTGTAAATAGCCCCTTGAGCTGATTCGGGGTGTCCACAAAACACCTGTTGGAAGGTCCTGGTCGAGGACTATTGCACAATTCATTACCCTGGACGACATCCCGGTGGAACTGTCTTCCAGATGTTCGCAGATTCCCTTCTTTGCGCATATGCCCGCTGAAGCGACAGGGAGCACCGAACATAAAGACCTCCACCACTTTGGACCTTCCACTGTGACTTCCCTCTATCCCGCATCCCCAAAAAGGAAACAAAGAAGCTTGACTGATTGAAGTGTTGGTTTCATTTTGCTCTCTTTTCAATTCATCACAGTATCAAAGCGTTTTAGAATGCAGGCCGCGCCAGCTGTGCCGGCCGATGGCTCGGCTGCTCCAAGTTGAGGCGTTTTGGTGGTATTTTATTCAAGTGGGAACTGTCGCGGGGGCTCCCTGGTCTTTCGGAACCCTCCATGGTCTTTGAGGACGTTCTTTCATGTTCTTTCCCTTTCTTCCCTCCTTGGAGACTGATGTTGTGCATGGCCTGCATGGCACAAAAAGAATGAAGAATCTGTGATGTCACAAGCATGAGCTGACTTGGACCTGTCCCGCCGCAGACCTCGCTGTGCCCGGGTTCTTGTGACGCTCGACACCGCAGGTATGCCCAAAACCGATGCGTGCCGAGCGGCCGCGGAGTGATGGGGCGGCCGCGGAGTGATGGGGCCGCAGTGAGAGGGCTGTGAGCATGACTTGTGGCTTCTTCACCCTGGGTTGGTGAAGATGATGAAACCGGTCGTGTCGGGTGACCAGGGGAATTCGAACATTCCAACGGACCACAGGACTTCCAACGGACCGGTACTGCTGGAGCTCTGCATAGCTCCGCATAGCTCCGCAGCTGGCAAGACTGCCAGACCAAGCAACAAAGTCTCGTCCCACTGCTTGGCTCACAGCCCTCAATCATCCCACGCTACCCAGAGACGACAGGGGTGCGAAGGTCCGTCGGTGCTACGCTTCGCCGGTGCTACGCTACGCAGGAAGAAAACACCTCGAGCGGTTTCTCAGCGTTTAGAAGACACAGCATTCGACCTATGCTGGACCTACACTTCCCCCACACTCTTTCTCCAGAGGCAAACATTTCTTGGAGTGAACGTTTTCATCTTCCACTGTAAAGGATGAACGGCTCTCCTCTCTCCGTGTTCCTTCCTACCCCTTTGAAGCAGCGTCGTAGAGTTGGAAAAACGGCCCCAGCAGAGCTGTAGATAGGATGAGTTGCTGGGATTTTCACTTTCGAGGCCCAAAGAGTGGTTGAAGGAGTTGAAAAAGCCGCGTCTCGCAAGCATAGCTGGGTCAGTTGCTTCGCTCGTGGACCTGCAAAAAGCACCTTGGCCTGCGGAGCTGCAGGCCCAGCACTTGAAAGACTTCTGGTGAAGGTAGAGGAGCTATGGGGGTTGGTCAACCCAAAGCAGATAGACAAGCGACCACAAGTGAGAAGCCAGGTGGCGGTGGTTCAGAGACTGCCCAGTGGTGATAAATGAGTGGGAAACTGTCTGAAGAATGATGTTCAGTTTTGATGCCTTTATGTCCTCTGTTGCGAATGACCCGCGCAGGTCAGCAAACCGACTGGAAAGGGTGTACAGGCCGGCAGAGACGGGACCATCTCCAGTTTCAAAAACGACAGCTCAGATAGGCTCAGATGTAATAGGGATGGGACATTGAAGGCAGTCGGAGCCTTTGGTGTCGCGATGCTTTGCGAACTTTGCACCGTATTTCTCCGTCTTCATTATATATACCAGGACCTTCCAACAGGTGTTTTGTGGACACCCCTTATATAAGCTCTAAGGGGCCTTTTTACAGACACCTCAGAAGGAAGGTCCTGGTAGATTCTTACTTAAACCTGTGGTTCAATGCGGGTCTGAGACGCCCGGGCGCCCGTCGGACGACCGACTCTCGGCTCGCGGACTCGGAGAGACCGACTCGGAGAGGCCTGTCCTTGTGGCCGAACGTGCACGCCCGGGGAGCCCAGCGATGGACGGAAAGCGCCCCAAAAGGGCCAGGCCGCCCATGGGACGGATTTTCCATGTCAAAAGGGGCAGGCAAAATGCTGGAGGGGAGGCCGGACCGAGGGGATTTCGGTGTTTTCTTTTTGGTTCCTTTGCCTGCAGCCCGGGTCATTTGCAGCAAGCAATCCATCATTGGTAGAGGGCAACTTCAAGCATTCGGTCAGGGCATCTTGTTACATTTGACCATGTCCGCCATGGCCCATCAGCTTGACTGGTCACCAGTGAGGCCGGAATCCCACTTCTGCCCCGACTGCGGACAAGGCCTGCGAGAAGAACTGTTGGGCTGAAGTCAGTTGCTTGTGACACAGCCGGCCACTGACATTGGACCTGCAGTTCCAGCTTTTGTCCAGCAGACTGTTGAAGATGGGCACTCTCCGCGTCGCGCTCTCCGCATCCTCCCCACGTCATTCGGTGCAAAGGCCTTAGAGTCCTGGTCGGCAGAGCCTTCCCCCCCGCCTGAGCTACGCGAACACTATCGGTAGACCACAAACATTCCTAGCGAGTTCAGTCTTGCCGCTTCAGGACATTGGATGTCAACCCCCCAAAAACATCGAGCAAAATCACACTCCCAGCGCCCCTTCTCAGTCACTCGCTGGTTCTCGCACCACCAGGGCTCCAAAAGCGTGGCGTTACTCCGGTGCCAGTCCCAGATTCAGATAGCAGCTTTGGGTCAGAGTTCTTTTTTCAAGCCGAACTTGGGGACTTCCTGAAAATGTCAATTATAGATTAAAGACTGGATATATATATATACACTGTATATACCTCGCTCATCGGACAGTGTATATACTTATATATATATATATATGTCTTTACACTTCATTATGAATAACGAATATGACAAGCAGCGACTTCGATCTTGGCCATCTAAAGGAAGAGCTTCCAAGGTTTCTTTCGGGAGGCGATTTCTTGATGGGAGTGGAAGGTGGGGCAGGTTTTCCCACCCGAATCACTTGTCACAGCATGGCTCACTTTCAGGAAAGCCTTCCCAACCAGAAGCGGCAGAAGAAGAATACGAAGGTCAGCCGAAGAGTTCATTCCTGGTGCGATTCGCAAGGAATGAGGGTCTGTTTGTTGGCTGGACCCTGGTGGCTTATCTGTGGATCATGGGGTCATTCCCTTCTTCATCTTCTTCTCTACTAACTCACCTGCCCCCCCTGAAAGATGGAGCCTTCTGCTCCCCACAGCTGTCCCCAGAACGGTGACGACCCTGAGCGAAGCCCTGTCCGCATAGAGCTGATTTCGGTGAAGGAGGAAGCTCGCGAGGCAAGCTGACAGGTGTGGAGTCCCCGACTTGGAGTTCGAAAGTCCTTCTCCCCTCCCTACATTTGGGGCAAGCCCCGGCTTCTCGGCTGTCTGAAGGATTTTGGGAGGACCCAACATGGTGTAGTTTGGCCAGTGTCCCGCTCCGGTCCAGTGTCTCTTTCTACCAACCACCACGGTGGACTCAGCTCTGTGTGGACGAAACCGTCACTGCCAGTTGACGACTTGGCGCTGTGAGTGCTTGGACCCAGAGAAAACGGGCTGGGCGGCGAAGCGTTCAGCGAATAAGGCTTGAGTAAGGGAAGCGCCGAATTGGGGCGATCCTGATGTTATCAGCAATGAGTTTCCAGATATCGTTTTTCTTGTCCTCTGTCTTGCACACGATGACAGCGCAAAAAGCACCGGAAGGACTGGCGGGCTCAAGCTAGTCAAAACACAGCTCAAAGTTGGGCACTTGCCTTCAAGAACAAACAGAATGAGCACGCACTTGCACCTATGAGGCCAAAACAGACATGGTAGGTGAACAGGCCGAGGTGACCCAGGTGCCAGGACTTCTGATTCCAAAAACTCCAGTGCCTGAAAACCCATGTTTCACTCAGACTGGCGGGTCAGAAAGTGCTCCTTGACCATCAGTAGAGCACTTCCCCCAGCCTTCGTTCCACTGTGTTCTCGCCGCCATGCCGTGTGCGAGCTCGAGCCACCTCTGGAGTTCTTTCCAGGGCGCCGGAACGACGGCTCCCAACGCTGCCGGGCCTCCCAATGAGATGGCGGAGGCTGGCGGGCTGCTTCGGGGGGGTTCGGGCAATGGGATTTGGAAGGAGGGGGCCGGGGGTGTTTATTTTTTTGAGAAGACTCAAAGGGGCCATGTCCATGTGGCTTTGTGCTTTAAAAGCCATAGCTGCTCAAATTTTGTACCACCCCGTATGAAGCCTGTGCACCACACCAATGTCGATTTGCAGAAGGAGTACTTGTCTGCCCAGAAACCGCTGGACAAGGGAATCCCACTTGCTTTGGACACACTCACTACTGGCAACATCCATCTACTGGCAGCCGAAACCAGTGAAATCCTCAGACTCACTGCTGTCCGCCGACGCTGTCAGCCGACGCTGCTGCGCAGGCGGCGTCCCAGTGGGCGCGCCATGCCGCCTTCACGGCCTCGCGCGCGGCGCAGGCCGCGCAGTACGCGTCGCAGCAGGCGCAGATGGCCACGAACTCGGCGCAGAATGCGGTGGCACAGGCGATTGGCGGGCGGCGCGCCTCGCGGGCGGCGAGATGGCGAGATGAGGGGCCAGGGTGGGGCTGGGGAAATATGTGATAAGACAGGTGGCGAGAGGAAGATGAGTGCAGGCAGGTCTTTGGAGCCCAATCCGTGCTGCCTCTTGCTTGATTTTCCTTGAACGAGAACACCCAAGGACTTTTCACTTTAACGACCCAAAATAGAGCGCAACCAACAAATTAGGCCGGGATACCTAAGGGAGCACGTGTTTTTTTTTTTTTTTGCATGCTCAACAGCGCTTGGCTCAGTGTGCTTTTGGTCCACCGGGCCAACTCCGCAAAGGTCAGCTACTTGATGAATAATCCGGATCTTCGATCGGCTGCAGCCGCCGGATTCGGCGGTGACCTTGCAGATGGTCTGTGTGGCGCTGCACAGATCCTCACGGTGAGACGCTGGAGACTGGTGAGTTGCTGGGGGTTTCCCTAAGGAAGCTAGCAGTTGGCTTATATACCCTGGCTTACCCTATGTTTGGTAAAGGTCCCTGAAGGTTCTTAGAATCATTTAGACAATGATCAATGATGCACTGTCAGTGAATAGGGAAACCCCAAAGTACAATGGTTTTAGAGGAGATGGCACCACCATCCCTGCGGTTCTCGGTTTGGGGGGTTGTGACGCCCTCCGAAAGCTGTTGGGGCCATTTTCTTTGAAACCATTGTAGACTTTTCATACTTTGATACGACCTTATGCGATTTGAAGCGGTATTCCCAAATACAAGATTAGAATACAGTAGAATATCATAGAAGGGCAAATTCCTGACGTGAACCAATCTGGGAACCTCCAAAAGGGAGGCCTGGACTCCTGGACTTTTCTGGTGGCAGATGGTGAAAAGTAAGGACAGCTGCTCCCCGACTTTGATGCCAAGCACAAGAGGACATGGCACACCTTTCTTTGACCGGCGACCCCGGTCGTGGCTCCGGTCGTGCGGTCATGCAGAGCAGAGCTTTCACCTTGGCCCCGAAGTGTTTGGGTCAGCTGGCGACATGTTGCAAAGCCGACAGAGCCAAGTCCAACCTCGTTGCATCGGCATTTGGCAGAGAAAAGGAGTGGCCAGTGTCTGCATGGTTGATGGTCTGGGACCAACAGCGAACAGATCAAAGGGACCCGCGGCCCAAGATCCCCGAACATGTTGATGGACCCCGCGAGAAGCTCTTCTCAAGAAGCAGCCCAACATGGAACTCCTGGTTTCGTAACGCTTCCGCCAGCACTTCTCATCACTTCTGCCAGCACTTCCTGGCCTTCTCATCACTTCCGCCAGCGGAAAACAGTCCCAGCTGGTCGGATTTTCTCAATGCCGGCTCACTGGAGGTACAAGCATGGTGTGGACATCCGTGCTGGCCCCGCCATTGCTGAGCCAGGTGCTGAGGAGGAAACAAGTAAGCAGCGAAGCGAAGGCTTGCCGGCTCGCAGACCGGCCATCCCTGGCTTCCCAAAACGGGTCGGTTGGCCCGTGTTTCGATCCTTTTCTCCACTGCCACCGGGGAGATCCGACCGAGCTGGCATGGGTGGGTGGGTGGACAGCGAAGGAGCGAACGACCGAGCGGGGCGCTTTTCTTCGGGTCTCGAGACGGGGCGCCCCGAGGCGCTTTTGACGGATCAAAGGATTGAACCAACAGTTCAAGCAATAGACGTACCTGGAGTCTCGAAAGTACCTATTTTAATTGCTTTTTTTAAAAAAACTGTTTTTAAGTTAAAACGCGTTTTATGATATGCAAACGCGTTTTCTGGTTTTTGGGGAAAGCAATTAAAATATGGTACTTGAAAGACTCCAAAGTGGTGTGTGAAGCGCTGCTCATGGTTCAAGTGTTGGTTGGAAAGCCCGACGTGATGATGGACTTCCTTTGAGGCGGGATCCCCCGCTGTGCTTGCAGTGTGGCAGTTGCGTGTGAAGAGTCATGAAACAATGGCATGCAAAACTATACATGATAAGAACATTCTGGCTCTTTTTCACGTGGGGGCCGCCTTTTGTTCATTGGATGGCCATGGAAGTCTTCGTATCCAAGAACGCAGAGCAGTATGAAGAGCTCAACCGAAGAGGCTTGAACAAGTGCAGGGTGAGTTGAATGAAAAAACAAAAACATGGAACAACACTTGCATGGTGGTGTTCATAGGCCTTTTGGATCTCCCGGATAGCTTCTGGTCGTCCGTGATGAGCGTGCTGTACCCTCCCAACGTTCCTGAGATTTTGTTAGCCTTTGTACGTGCACTTTGTAAGCTACCAGCTACCATCTAATCTATCACTTCAGTTTGGTATGTTCCTGGGAGCTCAGGGCGGAGAGATAACCAGGAAGCGTTTTGACAAGATCCTGACGAACTATGACTCCAATGGCCTGGTTGCGCACCTGACCCTGAAGCATCGCAAAGGTGGGGCGCTATAGTGGGTGCTATATATTATATGGCTCTATAGACCGGGGCTGTGTTGTGTGGAGTCTTTCAAACCGGGGTTGTGTCACTGTGTGGCAGGTGCATTTTGGTCGGTCGCGCGCTTGCATTCGAAGTTTTTTTCTTTTCACTTGGAGTTGCGTACAAGCAATATCAAGCAACCATGTGAAACTGCTCAAGCTAACGCAGCTTAAGTTGCAGCAAGTGATGACCCAAAGATTATTGTTTCCTGGATTCTGAGGATGAGTGCTCCTATTCAAGCAGCAACAGTGAGATTGACCTGCCGAATGGACGCTAGGATTTGTGCAGTTCGCGTCAACTGCAAATGCCAGCTTGGCGGGGAAGGTGGTGCAACAGGGGACGTTGCCCAAAAAAAGGGATGCCTCAAGCTTTGTCAATTATAAGTTGCACTTCACATCTACAGCAGTCTAAAGTCTAAAGCAACTGCAACCCAATCTCGTGATCACTATCAGGTCGGTAGTGCTGCAAACATGGATCACCCCCAATCCCACAGTCCGGAACAGGGCACCTATTGTGCCCTGAGTATACCCTATCCATACTTCTCTCCCGCCACAGGCCACTTGCTGCGCTGGACAGTGCTACCACATGGTCAGGACCTCAACACTTGGGAACAAAGAAGGTTTCTAAGGAAGGTTTTAACAGTTTTGACTTCAAGTCATGAATCCTGCAGCCACTCAGTCATTCCCAAGCCTTCTAAAGCTCTCACTCCAAATGTCTAGCCTGCAGCTGGACGACAGAGACGAGTGCCACGCATCACCAATGGGTGGTCTGGCAGTGGCTTGGGAAGGAAGTGCCAGGATCCGCCATGTTGTCCGCCTCAAAGGATCCCTCTTGCAGTGGGGTGATGCCAAAAAGGTGGGTGTCCCTTCAATGAACCCCGCCTATACAATTTGAAGCTTTTCTGGGTGTACTGTGTCTGAGTTTGGGGGTCCGCCTGTGGCCCCAGTGATTCTGCACATGCACTAGCCCAAGGAAAGCTATCGAAGACAATGTGGAGGTCTTGACCTTCACTGCGAAAGCGTGGGTCGACGCTTTTGACTTTGAAGGGTCTGGCAGCCGCCCTCGAACAATTCCCTTGAACCTACTCAGCCTTCAGGCGTCACTCTTGAATGTTATGTCTAGAGCATGTATACTTCTGGGTCCTGTTTTGTTTGGCACAATGCCTCAACCTTGACTCAACCCATGACCAGGTAAAGGAGTTCTGGAAGATCATGCTGGACGGTCCGGAGGATGTGTCGTCTCCAAACGGCATGAAAATGCCAAGCAAAACCCACATTTATGCAGATGCTTGGGGCATCAGGAAGCTGATTAGCCACAGCCTTCGGAACTTGAGGATGGATCGACTACCCAAAGTGGTTTGGCTTGCACCTATAGCTGTCAAAAACATAAAACAAAATGGCCCTCTATAGATTCTATAAACTCAACACACCAATAACTTCCTGGCCCATAATCGTATGAGCCTTTGCCACCCTTGCTCACACTGAGTCTGCTGCCTGCCGCGGAGTCGCAAAGATCTTCCTGGAGGCTTGGTATCCTGGAGTGTACGACGAGCTCGAAACCGCTGGGGACGATGCGGAGGATCAGGCGACACTCGTGTTATATATGACACACACTATAGTTGTATTGTGTGAGCGTGTGTTGCAGGCTTCTTTTGAAAATCAAACATTGACAGATTTTGATTATGGTTTTTCATATTTTAATGTGGTCGGGAACGCAGGAGGAGACTGCTGCCACAGAGCTGGAGTCTCCGGCTACTTTGGCTATTCACGCGATAGAGAATGATGAGAATGATGAGAATGACGAAGATGAGCCACCATTGGAAAATGGTGAAAACCGCTATGATCTTGAGAATCTGTCTCCAGATGAACAAGCCTTCGCTGAAGCGGTACGATCCATTGCCGCTGAAGGCTCTGCTCCAGAAGCGCTACGATCCACTGCCGCTGAAGGCTCTGCTCCAGAAGCTGCAGATGCAGTTCCTTTGTCTGATGGGAGGAAAGCTTGGCAAACGCGAATGGCAGATGCTATCACAGAAGGCAATCGCTTTCCTGGGCCTGACTGTCCGTCAGATGGCTTATTGCAGTTGAAGAAGGAGTCCATGGACCCATCTCATGTCGAGACATTGCCATGGACGCCCCCGCCAGCCTCAGCGTTCACCCCATCAGCCGTGTCAGAGATGGATGCCAGAATCGCCTACCTCCAGAGCCTTGGGCTGCATTAATTGGCATGTCATGAATCGACAGGATTGGGAGTGGGGGTGGTCTTTCATGTTTTATGTGCCAAGGTCAGCATTGGGGCGCTCTTCATCCTCCTCCAGTGTTCCCAGTGGTGTGAAAGCAGGTCGACCTTTCGATGGTCAGGTCTTTGAGGTTGAGGAATCACAAGATAGCAACGCCTTGGCATCCTCGTCAATGACCCGTGCATTGAACCCGTATGAGGCCAAGGCCCTAGAAGAAGATGCTAAGAGGAATCAAGCCCGTGTTGCTGAAATTGAACAGCCGGCTGAGCCAGTTTCCGCATTGGTCGAGGAGATTGGAGAAGAGTCCCAGGCTGCTTCAGAGCCTGTGCATGCTCCATTGCTGCCATCTCCCTCGAAGGAAGTGGAGGAGGAAGTGGTGGAGGAAGTGGAGGAGGAAGTGGCGGAGGAAGTGGAGCAGGAAGTGGTGGAGGAAGAGGGAAAGAAAGAAACAAAAGCGGTCGAACACCACATACTTGATGATCTGAAGCAAAAGATCTTGACAAGGGCTGACCAAGGTGCACTGTACAAGGAAAAGGGCAGCCCAAAGAAAGGCAAAGGCAGAGGAAGGGGCAAAGGAAAAGGGAAGGGCAAGAAGGCCAAGAGCAAGGCTCAGGAAGAAGATGAAGAGAAAGAAAAGAAGCCTGCCAGTCGCCCACGTCGGTCAAAGAAGGATGTGGAGGGCAAGGGCGAGGACGCAGCCCCTAAGAGACGCAGAAGGGAATCACTGGTCAAGACACTGTTTCAATCTGATGATGAGAGCTGGAAAGATCCGGCTCCTGCTCCAGCTGAGGGGAATGAGGGGAAGGCAAAGCCTACACGGAAGAGGGGTCGCAGTGTAGCGGCAAAGCCATCAAAGGAGGCTGATGAAGTGACCGCTGCACCTGTGGCAGCCCAGGGAGAGGCCACCATGGCCAAGAAGAGGTCCACCAAGACCAAGGACCAAAAGTCTGCCAAGGGTGAAGGTGAGGCCAAGGCAGACAAAAAGACTCGGAGGGTGAAGTCGGATCTCCCGACCTTCACCCATTGCAACATCGTCCCTTACTGGTCTCGGCCTGCTTGTGGATTGAAGGTGCCAGTCAAGATTGCGGGGAATGTGGCCAAGAAGGAAAGCAAAACTGGTATGACCCAGGCTCGGAGTGAGTTTTGTTTTTCTCTCTGCGCGGTTCATAATTGATCCAAGTCCTTGTAATACTTTAGATCTTAAATTGATTTCCTGGAGGTCTTCTACATTCAGATTGCGAATGCCCCGATTCAAGACCATATCAACTTGATTGCCAGTGTTGCCACTCGGTTTACTGGCCTCATGATCTGCAAAAGAAACATGCATAATACACTTAATAATACTTAAGATATCAAATATCGACATCCCTGTGCAGAATTCTTAGAGTGTTCATTTTTCTAGTTGTGTGGCGGCTAAGGCCAAGATGATTGACAAGGCTGAGTCTGCAGAGCCCCAGAACATTCGCGAGCAGTTCAATTCGCTGAAGGACGCTCTGAAGCGGAAGTATGCGCAGGCTTGATTGGCTTGAGCTGCGTGCCATTTTACCATTCGGCCGTTCATCAAAGGATGAACTTTTGCTCACGGGGGATTTGCCTTGTCTTGCCAGCACCATAGGTTGACGGTGTGGCCGTACAAGGTTCAAGTTCTGTAATCGAGGAACGTGCGGGGATCGAGACAGGGTGCGAAAAAAATATATGAAAGAATAATTGAGTTTTTGTGAGTGAATCCTTGCCCTTGGACTGTCTCCCTGACCACACCATTCTTCCACTTCCCACTGACGACCCGGTCGGACTTATATGCTTTATTGATTGGATCGTTGCTGAGGCTTCATTCTTTGTCCGCCATGGACTTTGCCAAGAGCCAGTTCGAGGTATTTCTGTGCCTGTTTTCCTCAAGTCTTGGAAACGAGTTGCAAGCATACTTTCAGAGAGCATGCGTTGTTCCAAGCTTTTGGTGGCTGATCCTCAGCATTTTGCTCTTGGTTCCTGCGAACACCAGTCAAGTAATCAAGGTTCTTGAAAGTGAAGCCACATGCCTTTCCAGTATTGCCTTCATGTTTTCCCCAAACAGTTTGCAACCCTCCGTTGCCATTGCCGCTTTTTCGGACCATGGTGAAAAAGCAGGACATTGACACCATCATTCGGAGGTTGTTTGCTTTGAGCGCACCTAAGGTGCAAACCAATAGATGGGACTTGTGTGGCCAGTGTGTTTTATGTATATTTTAGTGGAAACGATCTGTTCCATCAATTGTTCTGTGAGGTGCTCATCACCATCGTCCTTTTGCTCTCGTGGACTGATCTTTTCCAGGGCCGTGACTATATTGATACGATAGATTTCTTTGCTGGGGCTGCCCGTGTGGCCAAAGTTTCAAGGGCAGTTGGCAAGAGAGCGATGGCGCTGGATCTGTCTTACCATGAGAACGAAGATGTTTTCAATATCAACTCATCACCTGGATTTGCGCTACTTAGAATACAACAGTCAATGGGAATAAAACTTGTTGGTGGTATTTACATTCCTGGGGGTTGAGGAATGCTGTTCAATCTGGAGGAAAGCTGAATGAATAAAGACACCTCCCCAACCCTGCGCAACCTTTTATGAAGGGGGTAGGGAGTTCCTCGTTTGCCCGTTCGCGTGTGAGGCTTGGGCTCATGGCCGCTTTGGATGGAAAGATGGATCAATTCTGGGCAGCTCTCGGGGTTTGCTGCTCATCATGGATTGTGACTTCGCGAGGGAGCACCGGAAGATCTTTTTTGGTTCCAATGGGAAACCTATCGTATGAAAAGGTGAGGGCTGCAAATGCCATGGTGAGTAGGACCACAGGGTGAACCTGTTCCTGAAACGTATTCTTTTTAGGGGAAACACGTGCTTCTTGGCCAACAATTGTTTTCAATGTGAGCCGGCGCAAGGCCATGTTCCAGAACCATGGGGTAAATATGCCATACGCTCTGGATCAACAAAGGTTTCGATAGGTAAAACCATGCGGTTATATAAACGCCTTCTTTGTTTTGGAATGGGAGTGGCCCTGAGAACAACCGGCTTCCAGCGCGCAGGACAGTTTGTATATTGCTAGTCCTGGTGGCCTGTGGTGCAACTTGGTTCCTAGAGCAGCCAAGCTCGTCCTTGCTACCTCGCCACGCCCGATTTCAGTGGACGATCAGAGTTTTCCAAAGATTGCATATCCGAGTGCCCCAGAGTGTGCACCAGGACCTTTTGTTATTTAAAGCACCAAGGGGTCTTGGGAGGTGGTTCGTGGGACTAACCGGACTAACTTCGAACTGTGGCCGCTCCTAGGTCTTCTTCCAAACATTTTGGATGAAGTGGTTCGACCATCCGACACCGAAGCGAAGCATTGTCTTCAGCACGTCGGCGTGGATCAAGCAGTTGGACCAAGGATCACTGAAAAGGAAACAGCTTAAGTCAGAGGTCTCCACCACAGACCGCTATGTGAATTCCAAGGGCGAAACGAAGTTCAAGGGGAGCAAACACCTCAAATCAACCCAGCTTCTTGCTAGAAAGGGCAGAAATGGTGGAGAGGGATTTTTGTGACTGTTTCCTTGGTGTCTTTCTAGGGTGTAGAATACAAATGGGTCCAATCAAGGGGAGTCTCACTCTTTCTCAGACCTGTCACCTCCTGTCACCATGGACTTCACTCGCCAGAGAAGCCACCCGGTTCTTTTGGGGTACACCGGTGATGCGAGAACATGTCACAAGACCCCAAGTAGTATTCCATGACAATCCACCAAGCCACTTCCCACAAGACATCGGTCCTCCACAGCATCGTGCCAATCCTCCCAGCATCGCGCCGGTCCTGGTGAGGCTCTACACGTGGCGCTATGCTGCTAAGATCGTGGAGCTGGGGGATGCAAGCGCAAAAGAAGACAGGGACCCTGTTCCCAATGTGCCCCAGTCTATTGAAACCATTAGAATGTGTTTGTGGGGTGGAAAGTCTGGTGCAAGACCCTTGTTAAGGTAGATTGGGATACACCTTTGATCGACCTCTACGCCAACTATCCATGGGGTGACCTGTGGGCGGAGGGTGACCTTCTGAGTGTAGTGAGATACCTGCGTGGGAGCAAGAAGTTAAAGCTGCCAAATGAATGGCGGTCGGTTTTACCGGAGTTTGTAGTTGATGAACCAATGGAGGACTGAAGCGTTTTTTTCTGGAAAACGCGTTTTGTGCAGAGTTGGTCTAGGACAGGCGCCCCAAAAGCGGAAAAACCCGTCCCAAAGGCGGAAATATCCGTCCAAAACGGATGCGTCCACTGCAGATTTTTGCTTTTGCGCGTTTTTTTTTTTGGCGCATTTTTTGGGGTTTGGAGGTCCGTCCCTGACCCGTCCACCCACTGTCCACCCGCCTATACCCCCAACTTGGCACACCTCCCTGAAACTGGATATCCCAAATCCCTGGACACCTCAAAGCCAGGTCTTGCAGAACAAATGGGGCTTCCCGGTCGTCTGAATCTGAAGCACAACTGTGTTCAATTCACTTTGACTTACAATGTGACTAATCATTCCAACAATACAAAGTCTGAGTTCGAAAGAGGTTTGACTGGGGTATCAGGATCGTTTTGCTGTGTTGCACGAAGCGCATGAATGGCATGGAGAGGGTGGGCACATGTTCAAAAGCCTTTGAAACTTACAAAGGATCTCTTAGTCTTAATTATATCATGGACTCAAGGGTTGCCACTCTCAACAGTGCTTTTGGCCAGGTCCTACCCTCTCGTAGAACATCCTAGAACTATTGAGCCGGCTCCCATACAGAAGCTTTGATGGCTGCAAACCCTCGCTAGTGACCAACTTGGATGCCAGTAGTGGTCACAAGTTTTTGCAATGGCAAAACGGTTGCGATCCTTAGCATCTTTGCTTTGGGACACGGATTCGACCACTGGCACCTGTGAAGAGGACCCCTGTGGGAACCACACCACCCAGGAGTTGCAGCTGGAAAACGCCAAACTTCGGGAACGTGCGAACGCCCTAGAACAAGATGTCTCGATATTGAGGGATCAACTGGCAACATGCATGATTGTCAAGTGCGACGCATCTGCGTTGGATGAGGAGGTTTGCGCTGGGCACCCATGGGTTCATCAACTCAGACCCGATGTTTTGCGCTTGCCGCGCCTACGCTCGGAAATTCTTCCCATGCTCACTGAGACACAAAATCTCGATGGGAAGATAGTGTTTCATTTACCCAAATGTCCCAGAGCAACGGCGAGCCAAGTCCTCAAACATAGTGAGGAGCGAATCGCGCAGCTGTCCTGCAAACACCCGGCGGTCTTCAAAATTGGCATCGCAACCAACCCTGTGAAGAGGTGGTCTCATCCTACTTACGGGTATTGCCGTGAGGTCAGGGAGAGATGGCAAACGATGAAGATTGTTGCAGTGACTGCGTGTTCTTTCAGTGCAGCGCTAATAGAAAGTGCTTTAATTCAGAAATTCAAAGGGCGCCCTGGCTGTCGCAATGAAAACCCGGGCGGTGAATCTGCAAGCCCTGGTGAGGGACCTCATTTCACATATGTTGTTGTCAGGGTGTTGGTTCCCCCTCCCCGGGTAACCTGTGCAAGGGCTGCCCAAATTCATTTACTATAGCCCCCACCGTACTGCGCTGGACTTTCCCCGCAACACGGCTAGAAAATGGGCCAGTAACATGTGCATGTGTGTGTGCATGTGTGTTGAAAGGCAACTTGCGTGTTCGAAGTAAAAGGGTTGGGAAACACTCTTGCTGCTCGATCGACTGTCTCAGTGGCATTTGGGTTCAGGTGTTCTGCAGAAAGGAATGGCAATGTCTTTGGGAAACAGTCACGTGTTCAGTTCTGAAACCTTGGTCGCTGGAATGGAGACGTTGGAAATGCAACAGGTTAAACAAGAAGATGCTGAAGACACGCGAAGGGAACTTGAGGACCCCGGGCACACAAATTGTCTTTGGGGCTTCAACTTGATTCATGTATTTCTCTATGTTCTTGGTTTGACTCTGACAATCTCCCATACGAGCTGCAACCTATTGAAATCAGGGCTCAATGAATTTAGGATGGACTCTCATCATCCCAAGTTATTCCCTGTTGCCCTTTCATGTCCCAAAGGATTTGGGAATATATATTCCCTCCCCTGTTTACTTTTCCCAAGTCAAACCCAGCTGGTGCTACCAGGACTTGTTGGCAAAGAGGGAATCAATGGCAACCAAGATATCCGAGACCACCCCGGACAAGATTATCAAAAGGGCTCGTGCTGACGCCCCGGATCGTGTCCCGGTTGCTGCCCGGACTGCCGCCGCGAATCTCCAGCATGTATCTCCCCGAGCACTGTTTCAACATGATTCGCAGGACCCATTGCCTTGAATTATCTGCATGGAATTTATATTTGGTGGGTCGAATGTTTTCAACCGTTTTGGATTGTTTGGGGTTTCTGTGGGAGGACGATGAGGGCCAGGGCTTGCAGCAACGTGGTGGTGCAACGGGGGGTTGCCCAGATCAGGACGAGAAGGACAGGCGAATTATGGACTTGGAAGTCCAAATTCGTAACTTAGAGGCCGAGCGATCTACACTCCAGGGCCAGGTTGAAGAGCTAACTTCCCAACTGCATTCCCTGAATACTACCGGAGAAAATGAACCAGATGCACCAGGGGCACTTGAGGTGTCGGACGCTGCTGTTAGAAAACGTTTGATGCGCATGTGCCAGCGAAAATCCGATGGGAAACCCAGTAGCAAGAAGTCCTAGCTATAGCCTCAACTTTACAAGTGCAACCTCACAGAATCCCAAACCCAAGTCCTCGTTCACAGCTCAGGAACATCCAGGTCCCCGAGCAGGTGTATAAGGCCTGGGAGGCAGGTGGTGCTGAGCGCACGAACCTGGTGAAACTATTCCAGGAAGCTGGATTGGACAAGGACTGGTGTCAGTCCTCACATGCGTTGGTTGTGGTAGAAATTGTTGGGGGACTCCTCGTTGAACATTATTGGTAGTAGCGCTTCCCCTCCAGGTTACTTTCCTGAAGATGGTAGAGCTCAGGGAGGAGAAAAAGGAGAAGGTTGAGCTGAAGTGTTGGGCGGGCTTCGCCACGGAAGATAAAATGAGAGAAGTGTTGAAGCTGACTCCGCCCCCAAAGCTGAGCATTAATTAATCTGTTTTTTGGGTGATTTTTTGTGTAAAGGAGACACCTGCTGACCACATGTGGGGCCAAAGTATTTGCAAGAAACTCCATAGGGTCGATTTGGGCTGATACTTGTTTGGACTTCCTGGGGTGGTGTGTTCCCTGGCCCCTAGGCAGCGCATAGCCGCCATCAAGGAATTTTGTGAGAAGCGCGATGGCTTTACAAAGCAGCCCAGCTGGCTGTACATGACTGTGTTTTAGAGTGGTCAGTATTTCTCTTTGAGTCCATGCCTGCAACATGCATGTTGGCCACGTTGGCTTTCATGATCCCTCGTGCTCCTGAGGTGGGATAAATACGAGGCCAAATTGCAATACTGGGTGGAGGAGGAGGTGGAAGCGTCATGGACTAGCAGCCACACCCGTTCTCGCACGGAAACCGGGGAGGTTGAAGTTGAGGGAAACATGCAAGATTCTATGCTTGGGGCTTTAGGCCCTGTGGGGCTCGATATGAAAGCATTGGCGACCGCAGGCGTGGTTGCCAATGCATATAGGGCCGGTTTAATGTAATACGGAGTCTGCATTTTTGGCGCAGCTGTTCGATCATTCCACCCTATATATTTAACACACGCTGTTGGAACAGTATCAGTTAACTTTGGAACATTTCCGCGGCTCGAGGTATGAACCCTGGCAGTACTCCACCGCCCAGCAAGCCAACAGCGGCTCCTCCTACAGGGTTGCCTCCTGTGCTGAAAGAAGACAAAGCGTCTGAAGTCATTCTAAAGTACATGGAGGGCATCCTGAAAAGAAGGGGCAAGATTGAGGAATCATGGCAACCACATGTTGCATCAATAAGTATCAATAGATCGAAGGGCTATTTTTTGTAGCTAAAACAACTTTGTCTGCTAGGTCGGGTCTCCCATTCCCCCTACTAAAATGAGGACATGAAGAACAAGTATGTGCAAATTCCTGAGTCGGACCGCACTGCTCCCCACACACAGCTTCTTGCCAGCAATGTCTGTCGCACAGGGGCTTCTACTTGTTTAACATGGTTTAACAAACCTTTCAATTGACAGGTGACCGTCAGGTGACACATGACATGGGAACAAGTGCCTGCCACAGGATGATCGAGAAGTTGGAGAATAAGATCAAAGAGTTGGAGAAGGTCCATGACCAAATCAACGATATCTACTGCAGTGGGGCAGTAGAGGGCTATACACCTGAGTCCCTCAAAAGCAACAATTGTCCTTTCAACAGGTCGTGTAGTGAACGATATGGGACATAAAGTGTACCAGTGCTCAGAGCTAAGGCAAGAGAAGGAGTTGCTTGCGGCCTACAAGAGTGCCATGAAGGCGTACAGTCCTTAAAACCTCTTAGGGTCATACTGTCGTGCTGTGTAATGTGATGTATTCTTACAAAAACAATCGATTTCAATCACACAATACAGGTTTAATCTACTTCAGTTATCGGGTTTGTGGACCTAAGGAGCCAGGATTCTTTGGCATTGGAATCGCGAGCGAAGTCTATCCCACTCCCCAAGGCCAAGGCCGCTGTCAAAGCAAAAGCTCAGCCTAAGGCCAAGGCCAATTCGGCTGAGAAAAGTGAGAAAGGTGGCAAAGCCGCCAAAGTGAAAGCAGCACCTAAGCGGGCCAAGTAGAGTCCGCAGTGCCCACAACCGTAGGAGTTTTGATTTCTTCCCAGTGAAGGTGCTCTGAAGGCTTTTGTGAAATAGCTCTATACCACATAGCATCCCCACTGTGTTAATTTTCCTTTGTACACCAACCCAGCACCGAGTGGAAATTTTGAACCATGGAAGTTATCTACGTTCCTGGCAGCAAGTGACTGGAAAAAATGTTTGCCAACGCTCTTGTTTTTACCCTGGTTGCACAACAGCCTCCTCCATGGGTCTCTGGACATGTTGCATGTGAAATGCCAGGTCCGGAGAAACCAGGTTTCATGATGAAGAATCTGGCGTTATCACTGGCGAATGGAGTTAGGGCCCTATTCCTGATGCCTTTTGGGAATTATGTAGAGTACTGGAAATTTGTTTTACCCATTCGCCACCAAGGCCCCTGCCAACCAGCTCAAGAAGAACGTTCGAGCAGCCATGGATGAATGTGGGGACCACCTCAGTACGAGGACATTGGAACGGGCAGCGAACTGCAAATCCCTAAAGAATGCCGAGCGGGACCTCCATGGACTGATCCGCAAGCTTGGAATGACCATGCCCTTCAAACCAATGACTATGTGTTGGGGGCAAAAGCGCCTGGATGTCGATGTACTCCCTTTGAAGACATGGTTCAACTACCTTTTGTCCAGTCAGCCCCATCTCTTGCTTGGAGGATTTACTGGTGGGCCCCATGCAAAGCTACTGCTGGAAACATACTGGCAGAACAATCGGCCTATCATGCCGGATCACGCTGTGTATGCTTTACATGATGACAGGCTGTCACAGTGTGTTCCTTTCTACTTGCACCTTGATGAAGGTGTTGGTCAACGGAAGCGCGGAGTGCTGATAGTGGCATCGCAGGGTGTGTTTGGCCAGGAGACTCGAACTCGCTTCTTAGAGAACATGCAGAAAGGGAGGGTTCGCTCTATGCAGGATGGAACGGATCGCATGTCAGCTGCCCAATACCACACGGCCAAGGGCAGCACCTACAAAACGAGGTTTCTATATACAGCAATCCCAAAGCAGAACTACAACAAGCGGAACGCTGATGTGTATGACTGTTTGATTGAAAGCCTGTCTCAAGAGACCACGGAGCTCTTGCAAACGGGACTCCAGGTTGGCAGCAAGACCTGGTACCCAATCTGCGTGGGGCTGAAGGGCGATGCCCCTGCACTGGGGAAAGCCGGTCGTTTCACAAGGATTCTTGGCTCCAAGCATGTTACTTTTTTTGTTCTTGTGGAATGATGTTGGTTTGATTTATGTATGATTCGTCCTTTTGGAGAGGGCATTTTACATGCCATGGATCCACGCATCCACGCAGGTATTTTGCCACTATGGGCAAAGACAAAGGCTGCTGTCCGGATTGTATGGCTGGAGTTTGTAGTGCAGCGCCGTTTGAGGATTGTGAGCCGGATGCTGCATGGATTGGAACAATAGGCCTGGAGCGGCCTTGGAACCCCAACAATGTGAGCCCACTGAGCAATGTGCCTGGACGGCAGTACTTGCCAGAGTTCTTCTACAAGCGGGATCCATTTCATGTCTTCAAGCAATCCTTGGCTGGCCACTTCATCTCGAGTGCCATAGTGGTAATGGGTGAGTTGGGATACTTCACAGATCTCCCTGGTCAGTCGTGCGCAGCAGACAAGCTGCTTGAGCGAGGATATGAGGACTTTGCTTACTATGTGAAGCACGAGTTCCGCGGAAAGAGTATCAATCACATCAAGGCTTTCACAAAAGAGATCCTGCATTGGCCGCGGATAAACTCCTACCCGGCGGCAAGGTTTAAGGGCTCAGATGCAATGATGCTGCTGAGGTGGTTGAAGCAGCTGGTGTCCATGGGCCCTGTTGGCAGCGCCGGCCTCCTCCGACCTGGCATTTCCTTGGTAGATCACCCAAAGGAAGACTCGCACAAACCTGTGCTTTGTGAAATGCTCAAAGCATGTGAAGGTGGCCTCCTGTTCTTTCAGATCATGCACAAGGAAGGCATTTGGCTTCTTCGTGATCAGGCGGAGCAAATGGGAGCAGCATGCCAAAGGTTTTGTTCCTCATACTCCCGCCTTGCTCAGCAGTGCTTTTCATGGAAGTGGATGCGGTTTAGGATGGAACCGTGTTTGCACCACTACTGCCACTTTGGGGTGGATATTCGGGAGACCCTGAACCAATCCCCAGAAATTCAATGGATCCCAAGTCCTGCTCCGCAGAACTGCGAGCAGGACGAAGATTTTGTGGGCAAAGTTGCCCGGCTGAGTAGGAAGGTTCACATGATGACCATGACACGTCGTGTGATAGAACGGTACCTAATTAAACTTTGGTTTGAGTTCAATGAAGACAACAAGTGATGTGATGTACCGGGTCCTTTCTCAATTGAAAAATGTGTTCAAGACTGGTAGACTAGACCTTTCACCTTTGTTGTACAGTATTTGATATGCAATCTGAAGGAGGTGAACTCAAGAATGCAGTGCAAATTAAAAACTTGCAATGACACTTTCTCTTGGCAACGGATGCCAGTTCCCAATTCACCTGAGACCCGGACAGTTTCAATGAAGCCCGCAGTCACAGTTGGCCGCTTGAGCCAAAAGGCAGGCTGGGGGTTGGGCAGGATGTGACATACCAACAGGCATCCAAGATTCCAAGATGCCACAATAAACGCGTTTTTTGTATATCCACCGCGTTTTTATCATGAAAACGCAGAAATATGATGCCCAGAAGTCAGAAGCAAAAAAAAAAGGACTCATGAGAGTCCAGGTATATATCATCAATGGTATATGATCTCAACAAACATATCAATTATACATATCCCTTGAATTTCTGGGATCCATTCTGTTCCATTTCTTTGAGGCCTCGGATGCCCCATGCCCTGGAGCCGGGCGAGGAGCTGGTGCCCCAGAGGAAGACAGGGAGCAGGTGGCCCACAGCGGGGCGGGAGGTCGATGAATCAATCTCTTTTTTTGGGGGGTATTTTTCTTTTTTTGGGGTGGGTGGGTGGGTTGGGGTGGTCTCCAATTTTTTCGGTGTGTTTACTTTTGGAGGGGGAGGCGTTTTTGGAACCTTCTGCGCCGCATGGACATAAAGGAATGAAGAGTCCAACTGAGCGTATTCTCCACTTAGGATCCGGATGTGAGGGTGGATCAAAAACCAAACACCCGTCTGCCAAAGGTTTTGGAGCTTGACTGCGGAGACATGGGCTCACCCAGGCTGCAAAGCCCGAGACATGGGCTCTGGGAACGTCCTAGCCTCCGGGCCTCTTGAGCTTTGCGTAGACAGACCTCCCCCTGAGGTTCCTTGTGGAGCGTGAAGAGATGGGCACGGATGGCATTTTGTATCTCAAGCTTGCTGATGGGCGAGGTGGCTCACAATCCGGCCGTCGTTGTTGTGGTGCTCAAAACGGCCTCGTCTTCACGAGTTCGGGGGTTTTGGTACATGGCTGGGATGAGATGGTTCTTGTTTTTGCATCTGGTCGGTACGTGGTCTGACTTGGTGAGTGAACATCATCTAGCTTGAGTTCCCCCGCGACTCGGAGTCGCGAAGTTGCTCCCCAAGTCGCCGCCCGAGTCGAGTAGAAGGGTGGGTCTTCCAGGGCTTTGAGTAGGCTTTGAGGCTGTAGCTGGGTCACTGGGCTTTGTTCCCTCAACTCTTGCCCGCCGCCCCGAGTTCACTGGCTCCATTTGTCAAATAGATTTCAGTGAAACTAAGACCTTTCATACCGAATGGATCTAAAGATAAGCTCCCTGAAATCATCATGGAAGTGGAGTTCTCCACACTCTTTGGTATTCAGATTTCATGGTTCTCCTTTCGGGGGCCAGGCCATCTGCGCAACGATGATTCTTCCCAGGGAGTGTATTTCGGAGACCAACTCCCGGCTACTCCAGCCGGCTGCGGTAGTTCAGGCTGGGTGTTTGACCAGAAGCCCAGTCTGGGCGTGATCTGTGCGCCGGCGCGCGAGAAGGCTCGGAGGTTTTGGCTGAACGCGCTTGTTTCAGGGCCATCGCAGGAGTGAAAGAGCACTGGAGCATTCAGACTCACCAATCAAGCAGGGCAACTTGCTAGTGACTTCCATTTGAGGCTTGTATTCTGACTAGGCTTGTACTGACGACTTCCTTCCCACTTCCCTGGCCGCACTCTCGCCTCAATTCAATATACTGTATTTACTTTTTCTGCACGTCTCACTCCTTTCATCTCCTCTTCACGGCTGAGTCAACTCCTGAACACGCCTCCACCGTCCGAGACTTCTGCCGCGTGCGCATTTCGTGCAGGCGGCACTCCCCCGACGCTCGGGAGCGCAGGCGACACCCGGCGTTCGCTCCCCCGCAGTGGATGGGATGCCCAGAGCTTCTGAACTACTCCATAAGACAAACGAGGGCTGATGCCAAATCCTTGAAAGGAGCGTTTGTGCCCTAAGCAATGCAAAGAGTCACACTGAGGCAACAAAGCTGTGGGCATTGAATCCGGCACATGAATCATCAACCACTTCAAAACACCGCCAAACCAAACTCATTGGAGGTTGATCATGATCAACCGGTGGGTGGTTCCGCTTTTGACGCACAGCCAACTGAACTCTGAGTACAACGTGCCCAGAGAGGGCTTTCTCCGCCTGCTGGGCTTGAGACCGCCCGAATTGAACTAATCAGGTGGGACCGATGCCGTTCGGCTCGCCGCTGGCCAAGCTTTCAGGAGCCTGCAGCACCCAAGCCCAAGGCATCGGAGGGTGTTTTTCTTTCCGACGAGGATGGTGGGTGGTGGGGATTGGGAGAAGGAAGTTTGGAGCGGACAGATTTCCCTTCAAGATTTGGTACTTCTTCATTCCAAGCTTGGAACGTAGGAACCTTGAGGAAAACTCCAAACACACAGAGTTCTGTTCAGCCATCCGAGAGGTAAGGTTCCAAACACAGGGTGATGGGGCCCGAAACAGGACCGTGTTTCCTTTGGCCTCAGCGGGTCCTTCTCTCCTCCCTACGGCGCCGACCGTCGCCAGGCCCGGAACCGCCGCAAGGCGACGCCGACGCCGACCGCTCAGGAGCGGGGGGAGCTGAGGAGAAGGAGGAGGAGTCGGAAAGAGAGAGGCCAAAGGTGAAAGGAAAGGACCCTCAGTTTGCCTCCGGTTTTGAGGGTTTGATCACACCTCACAACTCACAACTAGTGTTTTGGAAGCAACATGTAGCAGTTGCTTCAGGGCCATGCGCCTGGTTCGTGTGGCTGGCCCCACCAGATCAGCTCCGAGACCGGAACGAGACGCTCAGAAGTGACCCGCCTCCAGGCGGACTCTCGGAGCCGCAGCCGCAGCGGCAAGAGGGCGAGTGAGGCGAGGGAGGGAATGGGCAGGGAGCCAAGTTCGAGGTCGGACTGTAGGCAGATATTGAAGAAGTTGTTCACAGAAGTATACTCTGTCTTTTGGTGACTGCCCTAGACATTTTGGAGGCCCCTTGATTTTGGAGTACTGGAACCATCTGGAACCCCAATAAGTCCAAAGGCGATATTTTGCACACTGAAGTAAGTAAAGATGTTTGCCTCTTCGGATTACTCTTGGAATCTCAGGGATAGTGTCAGGATTCAACTGGTTTTCTATGGCCTGGTCCAATCAAAATAGGTTGAGGTCACCTCTGAAGTCATGGAGAGCCTCCGAAGCCCCGGTCAGGCAACCCCGTTGCGTCGACGGGCTGCTTCTCCAGTGAAGGTGGGGCTGACGGGTATGGGACGGCCAAGGGTGGCTCTCGGGTAAGTTGGCAGGTCATTTTGGTGGTCAAAGAGTTTGAGAAAGTGAGATTCACCCACGATCCGCTGAAACGTGTGGGTCTGAAGTACTTGGGATGGCTGGGGGTTTCTCTCGTGTGGTTTGCTCAGGGGCCAATCAGGTCTGATCTCAAGGCTCGGCGGTCGGACCGATCTTGGGTCCTGTGGTCCTCATGTTTCGATGGACTCGAATGGTCACAGATTTTTGTTCAACCGGATTTTGGCTGTTTGATCTAGGTTACCAACAGTTGAACAACGTGGTGAAACGCAGAACAACGCGTTGTACAGTTGAACAGTTGTTCTGAACAGTTGAACAGAACAACTATCTACCTTACAGAACAACCGTTGAACAACGCGATCGATGCGCACGCTGCCTGTGGAGCGTCGAAATCGTAGCCTCAGGCGCCTGAGAAGTCTCCAGGTCTGGTGGCTTTGCTGAGTCAAGTGCAGGCCATATCTCAGATGTCGATGTCTAGTCCTGTTCGATGTGTTGATGGAAATCACCTGAAACAACTATATTGAAGGTATCCGTGACAAGAACGTCTATAGATGTATTGTCCCAGTCCTGTGTACTTCCATGAAATAACTATATCTTGAGTCATAACATGCCATAACTATCGAAGTCATTCTTTTTCACACCTGGAAGAACGTGATCGATCACTGTTGATCACTGTCTCTCGCACCGCCCAGACGCCGCGACGACCGACGTCCCCGGCCTCGCCGACTGTCCAGGTCCGGTCCGGTTCGCGGGTGGAGCGGAGGTCTGGAGGTGTTCCAAAGCGTCAAGAAAAGGGCCCCTGGTGGGGGTGATGAGTTGCTAGAGGTGGATGGAGGGGCCCCTTGGTAGGAGGTGGATCTGCGGGGCTCTGGGGGGGGTTCCAGGGGGCCCGATCGGAGGTGTTTCCAAACGTGCACCAGAGTGTTCGACCCAAGTCTGGGCATGCGGCATGCAAGGGCGAAGAAGAATCTGCACAAGAACCGGACATGCAATCACCGCTGTTTGTCATGTGAGCCACCCTGGCAGGCGACTGCAAAGTCTCCAGGGCTGGTGGCCTTGCTTAGTCAAGCGCAGGAGGCCAGGTTGAAAACCACCAAACAAGATCAAACATGCAAGAGAAGAAGGATGTCCTTATATGATGTTCTCCTCCGTACACCTTCCTCAGGCGCCGCCAATATTATCAAAATTATTTGCTGACATGCTGACACCCGGGGTGACAAACGATCATGCGAATCATTAGAGCTCAAGAACACGAAGCACCTAGTGGAATGCATGGTCTCGTTTCTAGAAAGCGCCTCTAGAGTCTATATAGTCTTTATTTTTAAACCTTGCTTCAGTTCTGAGAAGCCATGAACGACTCAGAGTTCTCACTGCACGTGTCCACGCCAGACCCCCGTGCGGCGCAGCTCGAGCCGCTCCCCCCGGTCGCGAGAGGACCGGCGCCGGTGGGCCGTTGGGGGCCGTTTCGGGCGCAAGGAAGGGAGCCGAACTCGTGCCCAATGCAGGCCAATTAGATCCAGGGTCTCCAAACACTGCGTTCTTTTTGTTGTTGTTTTTTTTTTCCGCCTTGCTTTTTCTTTGAACTCCAAACGCCCGGGCATTGGTGGGGGTCTG